ATCTAACCTAGGTCACAGCAAAGTCATGTAGAAGCATACGCGTGCCTATCTTAATAGAGGATTGGAGGGTGATTTGGATGACCTAGAGCTAGATCAGATCACGAAAGCTTTAGAAGAGTACATAGACCAAGAAGGTTACGCAAAATATTACTTAGCGGATCAACGAACATTGGATATGTACTTCGGTTTTCGTGGATAGTAGAGACGTAGACGATTTGGGGACGATATTAAATAAGTTGAAACAATATCATTTGCTAAAAGGCGGATTTAGTGTTAAGTTTCTTTTTTGCGTCAAGTATGTAGTCTAGTATATATCCTATCGAACGAATGATAGCAGTTGCCTCTGTTTTGCAGAGAGATCTTGGGTTTTATGTGTTTTGTTCGATTGAAAGACACATTTTGCATTTTTAGATGACACAATAAAGACGAGAAAAGATGCCCAAGACAGCTATTAATTACTGAAAGGCAGATTTAGTGTTAAGTTACTTTGTGTCAGAGAGCACCAAACAACTTACAGTACCCGGCAAGTTACTCAAATGGTTTTGACTAGCCTGCGAATACAGCCGTCTTTCTTCGCTCATCGCCACTACTAACGTTTCGAAACGTCGCTCTATAGCGGCGAGGAGCAAGGAAACGGTTGTATTCGCAGACTTAGGCTTGGAGAGGGAAGTGTTAAATTTAATGTCAAGTACCATTTAGTACCATTTATTATGAAGACATATATAGCGGTCTTTCAGTGTTCAATCAAACATGTGTGTTTATTTGGTATGTCAAGTAAATCAGTTCTTTTAAATGCAAAGGATCCGTTTATTTATTTTTTTTTTGGACGAAAATGGTGAAACAATTGTGTTTCTTTAGATTCATTTCTGAGGGAAGCCTAAAAAGGGATTTATTCTTTTCAAATTATAGATTACGCATGCCCATTGAATATCATAGTTTAACCGAAGTGATTCTTTCGCTTCCATTTGGTAGAACAGGTTAAAGCAATTTTGTACCTTTTTCATTAAATCTTAATATACGTTTTGCTATTTTTTAAATATCCCTTATTTTCCTTTTCTTGCTGGTATTCAAGAGCCAGTCAATCGATAAAAATCGGTAGCAATCAAGTGATTAAATTCCAATTGATAACTGGAATCGGTGAAAATCGATAACATAACTTTTAAGTGCTGTGTCAAATCGATATTGACGATTTTTCATGATTTTCACGATTGATAACGTAAGTCCATCATGGTTGTTTCGTGGCTTAAGCTAGATAGTACAGCTAAGAAAACATATCCACGAGTAACTACTGATAAACAAACAGAAAATGGGAAATGTGGAAACTATTACACACACAAAATTTTGTCTAAAACTCTTCATGTTGAACAAAAACAGCTCAGGTTAAATACATTCAGTTCTCGCATTTCAGACATCCCTTCGTCTCGTCACCTTTTTGTGTTATCAATCAAAAAATGACTTGATTGCTAACGATTTTCATCGATACCGATATTATCTATATTGACTACTCCTGCATGTAATTCGGCTACACCCGAAACTACACCGACGTACCCTATTTTGAAAGGGTGGTAGATCTAGCTCGTGAAGCTGGGCGCCTACAAACCTGTCCAATTATTCTCAGCCATCAGGAGAAGACTTGAAAGAAAGGAAAAGATTTTTTTAAAGTGATAACTGTTGGATCTTTCGACTGTCAAATATTGCAACTCAGTTGTCATTAAATTTAATGTTTGCATGAATTCAAAGGGAGGGAAAGAGTTTCTAGCAAATTGTTTCCAATCAAATATATATGTGAACTCATGTCTGGCAAACTCTTCAAAAGTTTATATACACACAATTATACGAAACTTATAACTTCAACTGCGCTTAACGAGCGAAACTTTGAAAACAGCTGCTCCACAAAATGTCACTGATAACGCGTAACGCAAAAGGTAAACGAAGTATGACCAAAAAAACTACCAATTTGCGGTCCTTCGGGAATTTCTGTCTTAACTACGGGCGCGAACAAAAGAAAACGTTAACCCCCTATCCCTTGCGGCCCCTATCTATAAAAGAAATCGATATTTTTTTCTGGTATACTGACTATAAATAACAACTGTAAGTACTTTCCGTAATAAACGGGCGAGCTAATAGAGTGCTTCCTCGGAATTTCGCCTTATGGGCGAAATCCCTGCTCTTCGGGACCAATAAGTTCTTAACTGACTTTCAACGAGGGTATTTTCTAAAGTGACGAATGGCACTTGAATATCTTTGTCAACTAGTATCCGTTTACAATCCTGAAAGAACGTTGCCCTCCCCCAAAAACTATATTTTCATTCGGAAAAAAAGCCTTTTCTTGGGCTACCCCTGAACTATGTAACAGACAAAAAAAAGAATTTAATCCAACTTAAGACATACATAGTAAATACATGGCCACACATGGCAATACATAGCAATACAGACTAATTAATAGCACTACATGGCAATACATGGCTATACACGCAGTACATGTCAATACATGGGAGTACATGGCTGTACATGACAGTACACGGCTATACATGGCAGTACATGGCAATACATCGCTATACATAGCAAAACATAGTAATGCATCGTAATACATAGTAATACATGGCAAAACATGGTAATACAAAGTAATACATGGTAATACATAGCGATACATGGCAGCACATGGTAATACATGGCGATACATGGTAAGACATGGCAATAAATGGCTATACATGGCTATACATGGTAATACATGGCAATACATCGCATTACATGGGTATTCATGGCTATACATGGTAATACATGGCAATACATGGGTATACATGGTAATGCATGGCTATACATGGTAATACATGGCAATACATGGCATTACATGGGTAAACATGGCTATACATGGTAATACATGGCAATACATGGTATTACATGGGTATACATGGCTATACATGGCTATACATGGTAATACATGGCGATACATGGTAATACATGGTAATACATGATAATACATGGCAATACATGGCTATACATGGTAATACATGGCAATACATGGCATTACATAGGTATAAATGGCTATACATGGCTATACATGGCAATATATGGCTATACATGGGTATACATGGGTATACATGGCTATACATGGTAATACACGGCAATACATGGCTATACATCGGTATACATGGCTATACATGGGTATACATGGCAATACATGGCTATAGCTGGTAATACATGGCTATACATGGGTATACATGGCAATACATGGCATTACATGGCTATACATGGTAATATATGGCAATACATGGTAATACATGGCAATACATGGTAATACATGGCAATACATGGCTATACATGGGTATAAAAGGCTATACATGGGTATACATGGCAATACATGGCTATACATGGCTATACATGGCTATACATGGGTATACATGGCAATACATGGCATTACATGGGTATACATAGCTATACATACGTATACATGGCTATACATGGGTATACATGGCAATACATGGCATTACATGGGTATAAATGGCTATACATGGGTATACATGACTATACATGGGTATACATGGCTATACATGGCTATACCTGGTAATACATGGCTATACATGGCAGTACATGGCTATAAATGGCTATACATGGTAATATATGGCAATACATGGTAATACATGGCAATACATGGTAATATATGGCAATACATGGCTATACATGGGTATACATGGCTATACATGGGTATACATGGCAATACATGGCTATACATGGCAATACATGGCTATACATGGCTATACATGGTAATACTTGGTGATACATGGTAATACATGGCAATACATGGTAATACATGGCAATACATGGCTATACATGGATATACATGGCTATACATGGGTATACATGGCAATACATGGCAATACATGGCAATACATGGCTATACATGACAATACATGGCTATACATGGCTATACATGGTAATACATGGTGATACATGGTAATACATGGCAATACATGGTAATACATGGCAATACATGGCTATACATGGGTATACATGGCTATACATGGGTATACATGGCAATACATGGCAATACATGGTAATACATGGCTATACATGGCTATGCATGGTAATACATGGTGATACATGGTAATACATGGCTATACATGGTAATACATGGCTATACATGGCTATACATGGTAATACATGGTGATACATGGTAATACATGGCAGTACATGGTAATACAAGGCAATACATGGCTATACATGGGTATACATGGCTATACATGGGTTACATGGCAATACATGGCAATACATGGCAATACATGGCTATACATGGCTATACATGGCTATACATTTTAATACATGGTGATACATGGTAATACATGGCTATACATGGCTATACATGGCTATACATGGTAATACATGATGATACATGGTAATACATGGCAGTACATGGCAATACATGGTAATACATGGCAATACATGGCTATACATGGGTATACATGGCTATACATGGGTATACATGGCAATACATGGCTATACATGGTAATACATGGCTATACATGGCAGTACATGGCTATACATGGCTATACATGGTAATATATGGCAATACATGGTAATACATGGCAATACATGGTAATACATGGTAATACATGGCTATACATGGCTATACATGGTAATACATGGTGATACATGGTAATACATGGCTATACATGGTAATACATGGCTATACATGGCTATACATGGTAATACATGGTGATACATGGTAATACATGGTAATACATGGCAATACATGGCTATACATGGGGTACATGGCTATACATGGCTATACATGGTAATACATGGTGATACATGGTAATACATGGGTACATGGTAATACATGGTAATACATGGTAATACATGGCTATACATTTTAATACATGGTAATATACATGGTAATACATGGCTATACATGGTATATACATGGCAATACATGGTATACATGGGTATGTATACATGGTAATACATGGCTATACATGGCAATACATGGCAATACATGGCTATACATGGTAATACATGGCTATACTATACATGTAATACATGGTGATACATGGTAATACATGGCAATACATGGTAATACATGGCAATACATGGCTATACATGGTATACATGGTATATACATGGCATACATGGTAATACATGGTAATACATGGCAATACATGGTATACATGGTAATACATGGCTATACATGGCAATACATGGCAATACATGGCAATACATGGCTATACATGGTAATACATGGTAATACAATACATGGTATATACATGGCTATACATGGGTATACATATAATGGCTATACATGGGTATACATGGCAATACATGGCTATACATGGCAATACATGGCAATACTATACATGGCTATACATGGTAATACATGGCAATACATAATACATGGTGATACATGGTAATACATGGCAATACATGGCTATACATGGGTATACATGGCAATACATGGCTATACATGGCAATACATGGCAATACATGGCAATACATGGCTATACATGGCTATACATGGTAATACATGGTAATACATGGTAATACATGGTAAACATGGCAATACATGGTAATACATGGCAATACATGGCTATACATGGGTATACATGGCAATACATGGCAATACATGGCAATAATATACATGGCAATACTATACATGGCTATACATGGTAATACATGGCTATACATGGTAATACATACATGGCAATACATGGCAATACATGGCAATACATGGTAATACATGGCTATACATGGTGATACATGGTAATACATGGGTTATACATACATGGCTATACATGGCTATACATGTAATACATGGTGATACATGGTAACACATGGCTATACATGGTAATACATGGCAATACATGGCTATACATGGTAATACATGGCTATACATGGCAATACATGGCAATACATGGGTATACATGGCTATACATGGCTATACATGGCAATACATTTTAATACATGGCAATACATGGTAATACATGGCTATACATGGCTATACATGGCAATATACATGGTAATACATGGTAATACATGGTAATACATGGCAATACATGGCAATACATGGTAATACATGGCAATACATGGCTATACATGGTATACATGGTAATACATGGTATACATGGCAATACATGGTAATACATGGCAATACATGGCTATACATGGGTATACATGGCTATACATGGTATACATGGCATATACATGGTAATACATGGCTATACATGGCAATACATGGCTATACATGGTAATACATGGTAATACATGGCAATACATGGTAATACATGGCAATACATGGTAATACATGGTAATACTATACATGGCTATACATGGTAATACATGGTAATACATGTAATACATGGCAATACATGGTAATACATGGTAGAATACATGGGTATACATGGTAATACATGGGGTATACATGGTAATACATGGCAATACATGGGTATACATGGGTATACATGGCTATACATGGCAATACATGGCAATACATGGCAATACATGGCAATACATGGCTATACATGGCAATACATGGCTATACATGGCTATACATGGTAATACATGGTGATACATGGTAATACATGGCAATACATGGTAATACATGGCAATATATGGCTATACATGGCAATACATGGCTATACGTGGGTATACATGGCAATACATGGCAATACATGGCAATACATGGCTATACATGGCTATACATGGCTATACATGGTAATACATGGTAATACATGGTAATACATGGCTATATACATGGTAATACATGGCAATACATGGCTATACATGGGTATACATGGTAATACATGGTATACATATACATGGCTATACATGGCAATACATGGCTATACATGGCTATACATGGTAATACATGGTGATACATGGTAATACATGGCAATACATGGCTATACATGGGTATACATGGCAATACATGGCTATACATGGCAATACATGGCAATACATGGCTATACATGGCAATACATGGCTATACATGGCTATACATGGTAATACATGGTGATACATGGTAATACATGGCAATACATGGTAATACATGGCAATACATGGCTATACATGGGTATACATGGCAATACATGGCAATACATGGCAATACATGGCTATACATGGGTATACATGGCAATACATGGCTATACATGGCAATACATGGCTATACATGGCAATACATGGCTATACATGGCTATACATGGTAATACATGGTGATACATGGTAATACATGGCTATACATTGTAATACATGGCAATACATGGCTATACATGGGTGTACATGGCAATACATGGCTATACATGGCTATACATGGCTATACATGGTAATACATGGTGATACATGGTAATACATGGCAATACATGGTAATACATGGCAATACATGGCTATACATGGATATACATGGCTATACATGGGTATACATGGCAATACATGGCTATACATGGCAATACATGGCTATACATGACAATACATGGCTATACATGGCTATACATGGTAATACATGGTGATACATGGTAATACATGGCAATACATGGTAATACATGGCAATACATGGCTATACATGGGTATACATGGCTATACATGGGTATACATGGCAATACATGGCAATACATGGTAATACATGGCTATACATGGCTATACATGGTAATACATGGTGATACATGGTAATACATGGCAATACATGGTAATACATGGCAATAGATGGCTATACATGGGTATCCATAGCTATACATGGGTATACATGGTAATACATGGCAATACATGGCTATACATGGGTATACATGGCTATACATGGGTATACATGGCAATACATGGCTATACATGGCAATACATGGCAATACATGGCTATACATGGCAATACATGGCTATACATGGCTATACATGGTAATACATGGTGATACATGGTAATACATGGCAATACATGGTAATACATGGCAATACATGGCTATACATGGGTATACATGGCTATACATGGGTATACATGGCAATACATGGCAATACATGGCAATACATGGCTATACATGGCTATACATGGCTATACATGGTAATACATGGTGATACGTGGTAATACATGGCTATACACGGTAATACATGGCAATACATGGCTATACATGGGTATACATGGCTATACATGGGTATACATGGCAATACATGGCTATACATGGCAATACATGGCTATACATGGCTATACATGGTAATACATGGTGATACATGGTAATACATGGCAATACATGGCTATGCATGGGTATACATGGCAATACATGGCTATAGATGGCAATACATGGCAATACATGGCTATACATGGCAATACATGGCTATACATGGCTATACATGGTAATACATGGTGATACATGGTAATACATGGCAATACATGGTAATACATGGCAATACATGGCTATACATGGGTATACATGGCAATACATGGCAATACATGGCAATACATGGCTATACATGGGTATACATGGCTATACATGGCTATACATGGCAATACATGGCTATACATGGCAATACATGGCTATACATGGCTATACATGGTAATACATGGTGATACATGGTAATACATGGCAATACATGGCTATACATGGGTATACATGGCAATACATGGCATTACATGGGTATATATGGCAATACATGGCTATACATGGCAATACATGGCTATACATGGCAATACATGGCTATACATGGCTATACATGGTAATACATGGTGATACATGGTAATACATGGCAATACATGGCTATACATGGGTATACATGGCAATACATGGCTATACATGGCAATACATGGCAATACATGGCTATACATGGCAATACATGGCTATACATGGTAATACATGGTGATACATGGTAATACATGGCAATACATGGTAATACATGGCAATACATGGCTATACATGGCTATACATGGCTATACATGGGTATACATGGCAATACATGGCAATACATGGCAATACATGGCTATACATGGATATACATGGCTATACATGGGTACACATGGCAATACATGGCTATACATGGCAATACATGGCTATACATGGCAATACATGGCTATATATGGCTATACATGGTAATACATGGTGATACATGGTAATACATGGCAATACATGGCTATACATGGGTATACATGGCAATACATGGCATTACATGGGTATACATGGCAATACATGGCAATACATGGCTATACATGGCAATACATGGCTATACATGGCTATACATGGTAATACATGGTGATACATGGTAATACATGGCAATACATGGTAATACATGGCAATACATGGCTATACATGGGTATACATGGCTATACATGGGTATACATGGCAATACATGGCAATACATGGCAATACATGGCTATACATGGCAATACATGGCAATACATGGCTATACATGGCAATACATGGCTATACATGGCAATACATGGCTATACATGGCTATACATGGTAATACATGGTGATACATGGTAATACATGGCAATACATGGCTATACATGGGTATACATGGCAATACATGGCTATACATGGCAGTACATGGCAATACATGGCTATACATGGCAATACATGTCTATACATGGCTATACATGGTAATACATGGTAATACATGGTAATACATGGCAATACATGGCAATACATGGCAATACATGGCTATACATGGGTATACATGGCTATACATGGGTATACATGGCAATACATGGCTATACATGGCAATACATGGCTATACATGGCTATACATGGCTATACATGGCTATACATGGCAATACATGGCTATACATGGCTATACATGACATTACATGGGTATACATGTCGATACATTATTTTTAATGCATTCTTGATACACTTTAATAACCCTACTTAAAGTACCTACCAACTGCTTTGTACTTTTATTCGCATTTCCGCTGTACAATCTCAAACAACAGCGGGCGACAAAGTTCCAC